AGGCACCAAGCCACCTACTTTATTTTTTAAAAAATGATGCTGAAGTTGATATTCAGAACAATGCAGAAACTTGCCCAATGTCACACAGCAAGTAAGTGGTGAAACCAGGCCTCAGTCCCATGCAGCAACATCCCCTGCATTGTGTACATTTCTGTCTCACTATTTATGTTTGTCCATAATTACTATGTCAGGAGAGAAGATCCACACTTATCATCAGCTTTTCAAAGGGGGTCTGAGAGAAAAGGTTAAGCACAACCCTGGAGTAACAAGGCTTCCAGCAGCTCATTTGGGGGGAATGTTTCTGGTGTAAGATGCAAAGGTGTGAGGGAACTGTGATCATCCCCTCTACAGCAGTGTGTCAACAGAGGGTCCTTGATCTGCCTAGCATGAAACCTCAGATACTCAGTTTTCAAATTCGAAAACAAAAACACAGCATGGGCAATTCTGGAAACTGACAATGCCAAAGAAAAGGAACACCAGCTAGGAAGGCCTCTTGGTTCTGAGAAAAATAACCTTAGTCTCCAGCCCCCATCCTTAGCCCAACTTTATGGGACCATATCGTGTCCTAGTAGTCTCTCAGAATAAGAAAGGAGCTGGCTTCTCAGCTCTCTCCCATAAAAGAACCGTTCACTGCTTCCTCTGATCCACCTCTTATTCCATTGAATAAGAAGTTCCTTCCTGGAAAGACCAGCATCTCTCACAATGCCCATGCCACAGGGTGAGAGACAGTATAGCCTAACATTCTGAAGCATTAGCTTTACAGTTAAGAGACATGAGTTCAAATCCTAACCCTTTCTAGGCGTAAACCTGGGCAAAGCAAGTTAGTTCTGTGAGCCGTAAAACAGTGATAACGTCCACCTAACAGGGTTACTCTGAGGATTAAATGAGACACTGTAAAGTACGTAAAGTGCTTGGCCCGGCGCCCTAAAGGACAACAACTGCGAGTTACTGTTATGTATTACCGGGTTTTTTTGTTGGCCCAGCACAGCTGCACTCAGGCCTCGGGGGAGGGTCTCCTCGGGAAAGGGGTCCCTAGGGGACTACTCCAGACATCCTTCAACCTGCCCGAGGCCTGGGCCGACCCTGGAGTGAGCCACCCAGAGGCTCCCCCCAAGCCGGAGCACACAGGAGGGCGCTTTCTCCATCGCGCCTCGCGCTCCGAGCCGGGCCCCTTCCCCCTACTCAATTCCGCCCCGCCCGCCGAGGTCACGCGCTCCAAGTTACCATTTTCTTGCTCTCGGTGCCACGATTCGCTTGCCTCGACATGGTGTTGACCGCGCCGCCCCGCCTCGCCTCGCCTAGTTACAGGTTCGCTCAGCGACCCTGTCAGACGCCGCTCGATTTAGCCACTGCCCCTCACCCTTCGGAATTGAACGGCACAGTTTCAACGCGCCTGCGCGGCCTGCCGCGGGGCACCACGGGACTCGTGGTCCGGCCGACGAGGGCAATTCCCGCCCAACAAACGTCGGACTACAGCACCCAACAGCCCCTTTGACAAGCAACGCCTCTCAGCTCAGTGAAACTACAACTCCGGGCGTACTTCGCGAGCACGGACTCTTAAGAGCCTGGCTTCCCGCTTGACTGCATTCTGGCCACTGGGTGGCGTCTGCAGCCTTCAGTAAACCTGTTACCATCCGTAAGCTTCCCGAAGCTTTCTCTGCCCTCTCTCCAGCTTCAGAGATGGTCCGCGAGCTCCTCTCTAGTACGATTGGTCTCTCGAGTTAGCCTCTTCCGCTGTTGCAGTTCTGCGCCAGAGGTTCCCAAGATGTCCCAGAAAATTAGTAACGACTCTCACATAAATCTGGCTTCTTCGTTGTACGACTATTTAATGACCACCTACTATGTGCTAAGCATTCGCTAGTGGCTTTCTCTTCAAATGACCATCTGTTCCCATACCCCAAATGCAGCCAGCTCCTGCATCCTACCACCTGTGGCCTCGTGAAGAACTATGCAGTCAAAAAAGTTCCAGTCTCTATCTCTTCCCTCCCCTAGAGTAGCTACAATTCCAGGTTCTCAGAAGAGAAAGATCCCCAACTGTGCGGGCAGACAGTCTTGAGTTCTAATCCCAGCTTTGCCATTTTAGGAAAATTGCTGGATCTCTCTCAGTTGTCGTGAAGCTTGGTGAGACGTGCTTGCCAGAGCCCTGGGCACATAAAACGCACAAAGTAAACGTGTACTCCCTTCCTTCCAGCCACCCTCTAAAAACAGTCCAACAAACAAGCTCTAGAAGCACCAGGGGAACGCGCTGGCTGAACACTCACCCATCACAAAGGGGAAATCCTACGGTTCCTGACCACAGCTCTTTGGTTTCAGCTCCAGCCATTTCTCCTTAGCCAGTCAACTCAGAGGGGGCTGGGCTGTGGTGGGGGGGTGGTCCCTGAGCACCCTCTCCTCACTTAGGCCTGGTGGCCTGACTTTGCAGCAGCTGCATTCTAGCTCCTCAGCCTTCACCATGACAACCTGTCCAGAAATGAGCCACCAGGGTAGGGAGGGCTGGGAGCGCCCAGGCCGCTCTGGCTGAAAGCCAGTGTGCAGGGCTCCCCCAGTCTCTCCCTCGGGGTGCAGGACCAATCATCATTATCCCTTTCTCCCTGTGCCACAGACATTCTGGGGCTTCCCTAGAGGCAATAACCCCTGACTACTCCTCCTGTATCATGCCTGAGGATGGGGTAGGTTGAGGGGGAGCCAAGGGCTCTTTGAAGGAACGTGGGGTTGGTTGTGGTGGGGGGAGCAGGAGTCAGTTAGCCCCAGAGGCCAGCCCAGCTACAGAAGAGCCTCCTGCGTTCCCAGGAGAGAGGACAGCTGAGGTGAAAGCTGCAGTTGGCCGGTCTGTCTGTCGGTCTGGGCTCCTCCCTGCCGGCTGCCCTTGGCTGCCCACAGAAACCTGAGTCACAGTCACAGCCAGCCTACCGACCGCACCCAGCCTGCTGACAGGCAGGGCAGCTCTGGAGAGAATGGAGGTGGAGCCTCTCCCTGCCCATCTCAAAGCCTCTGAGATTTTTCGCCTCTCTGACTGTTGACTCCTCCTCTTGGTAGCTCTCTCTCTGAGACTGGTCCTTGCAATGTCATCAGTTCTTAATTAAGGAACAGAGTAGGATCCATCTCAGGTGGATCTATATGGTCTCTTCCTTGCTCAGATGGGTGCTTAAAAGCTTAGACAGTTGCTCCAAGGGTTCTTAGTACAGTTTCCATTATTCTCAGATCCCGAGCCCTCTCCACCACCTCCAGGGACCAGGACATTTGGAAACACCAGGCACCCTTTTCTATCTTCAGCTCCTCCCTAGAAAAGAACTCAGGGATAGACAACTTCCCATCCCTATCAGGGGCTCTAGACAAAGACATCCCCTAACAACCCAAAGGGTTGAACCTAGTTAATCCTGGATCTGAGTTCCTTTCTGTTTCCATCTCTCTCTCTTCCTCCTCCTCTCCAACAGCTGGAGGGGAAGAGGCAGCTGGTGTCACTACTGCAAGGACATTTCCCACCACCAGCCCTAGGGGTAGGCCCTGGAGGCTAAGACTCCCTAATTAAAGCCCTGTGGGTTAGAGACCTCTTCTCACTGTAGCACCTTGGGGTTGGGTGGGAGTGAGAATCTGGTGTCAGTTCTCTCTGCTGCCCCCCTCCCTCCTTGAGGCCCCTCCCACTTCCTGCAGTACTTTGTGGGTGTGGAGGCAGCAGAGAATCCTTCCAGAGATTCCTATCCCTATGTGATCTCCTTCACCTCTCCATCAAGTTCATCCTGGATCCTGCCCTACCAAGCCTAGGAAGATATAAATGCTTTGCTCATGCCCTGCTCTAGGGGATCAGGATGGGGTCATTTTTCTGATCCCCATTCTGAGACCTGCCCCCAGCCCCCACCCAGCCCCATGATGACACTCAGGCCTATTTCTGTGGAGGAGGAAGGGCCTGCCCTATGCCCCAAGGGAGGCAACAGCGTTCCCTGCCCCTCCCCAAAGACAGCAGTGCAGAGCACTGCTATCTGGGGGTTCAGCCTCTGATGTCCCAAATGCCCTACTTGCTCCCTCCCTGGGATGTCTAATAATTGTGAAGCCATGTGGAGCCCCCATGTACCGTCACCCAGCCACAAACTCAGAGACACCCCCTCTCAACACTTTTGTCACTGGGGTCTGGGATCTGCCAGGGATTCTGGCCAATTAGGAGGAGAATGGAGAGGAGCCCACTTCCTCTGTCTAACCGACTGCATAGATCACAGAACATGGGAGCTCTTCCAGTGCGTGTTAGCCGTCTCCTCCCTGTGAACGCATTATCTGTGTAGGAAGATTTTGGGACTGACCAGGAGAATTATCCCTCAAGTTGCTTACCTCCCAGATGCTCTGCTGGTCTCCAGGACCAGCATCTTGGCTGGGGGGACCCAGTTCCTTGGGGGAAGGCGCAAGTGCCTCCACTCTCAGTGTAGAGAAAGGTTCCTCAACCTTGGTAGTATTGACACTTTATACCTGATAATTCTTTGTTGTGGGGGGTGTCCTGTGCAATATAGGATGTTAAGGGCCATCCCTGGCACTAGGTGCCAGTAGCACCCCTAATGGTGACAACCAAGTCATCTCTAAACATTGCCAAATTTCCATGGGGGGCAAAATTTGTTGATTGCTTGGTGAGCTTCCCAAAGTCAATCCCAGATAATTAGACACAATAGCTCTCCAGTTCTAAAGCACTACTTACCCTTCCCCTGCTGAAGAATCTCATGATCTTTTTTTTTTTTTGAGACAGAGTCTCATTCTGTTGCCCTCAGTAGAGTGCTGTGGTGTCACAGCTCACAGCAACCTCAAACTCTTGGGCTCAAGTGATCCTCTTGCCTCAGCTTCCCAAGTAGCTGGACTACAGGCACCCACAACAGTGCAGGGCTATTTTTTAGAAATGTGGTCTCTCTTTTGCTCAGGCTGGTCTCCAACTCCTGAGCTCAACTAATTCACCCACCTCAGCCTCCCAGAGTGCTAGGATTACAGGCATGAGCCATCACACCTGGCCAGAGTCCCATGATCTTCAATAGCTCCCCTTTTTCTACATTTATAAGTCAATTGCATTCAAGTCTTCTACATGGGCTATCCCTGGCCCATCTTTTTATGTATGTACATATGTATTTATTTATTTATTGAGACAGTGTCTCAGAGTGCCATGGCATCAGCCCAGCTCATAGCAACCTCAAACTCCTGGGTTCAAGTGATCCTCATGCCTCAGCCTCTCAATAGCTGGGACTACAGGCACTTGCTACAATGCCCAGCTAATTTTTCTATTTTTAATAAATATGGGGTCTTGCTCTTGTTCTGACTGGTCTCAAACTCACTCCAAGTGATTCTCCTCTCTTAGCTTCCTAGAGCGCTAGGATTACAGTTGTGAGCCACCGTGCCTGGCCTATCTTTTCATTTTTAGCTACCATTGGCCCTCCACGCTTCTTTTTTTAAAAGACAGAGTTTCACTTTATGGCCCTCAGTAGTGCTGTGGCATCACAGCTCACAGCAATCTCCAGCTTTTGAGTTTAGGTGATTCTCTTGCCTCAGCCTCCCGAGTAGGTGGGACTACAGGGACTGCCAAAATGCCCAGCTATTTTTTGTTGCAATTTGGCCGGGTCTGGGTTCAAAACCACCACTCTCAGTATATGGGGCCGGCGCCCTACCCACTGAGTCAAAGGCACCGCCAGCCCTCCACTTTTCTTGAGCTCTAGTCAATGTGGGTGTCTTGCTATTCCTATCCACCCATCTTTATCTCTGCAGTAACTTCAAGACCTGGAGGGAGAGATGGAAGAAGAAACATCCTAGAAGGCTCTCCTCCTGTTGAGTTCTATTCCTGAATTCTCCTGAGTCTTGTCACTACCTGGCTCAGGGTGGGCCTGTCCAGCTCTGGAAGAGGCAGTCCCAGAGGCCTCTGACCTCACAAAGGACCATCAAGGGCTCCATCATCCACATGATTCCCCATCACCACCCTGCAGATGGGATGGCTGACAACAAAGATAGGGGATCTGTTTCTCATCCTAATCTGCTGTTACTTTTGAAGTTCCCTGATCATCAAAGCTGTATTCATCATACTTATCTATTGAGCACTTCTGTGCTTAGCACTTGATCTGCATTGCCTTAATCTTTACAAACACCCCATGATATCTCATGACACAATTATATTCCTGATTTTATAAGGGAGCCAATTGGGTTTTAGAAAAATTAAGTCACTGCTCAAGGTTACAAGCTCCAGTTGGAGGTCTTTTACTATCACCCTATTCTATTTTGAGGGGGTCTGATGAGGACACTTTTCCCTCCCTAAGCCTTACCAAGAGGGTTCAAGCCCTTTGCTGTTCACATCTCCTAGGACAGGCTGTTCCCAGGTTTCAGGAGACCTAGTCCCTTTTGTTCCCCACCCTCACCCTCCACATGGTTGCTTTCTGGAGCTGCGAAAAGGGAGGCA